ACGCTCTAGCCTAGACTCTATCAAACCTGAAGCACCAACCCTTGTCCTTCATTGGAGTCCCTCCTGACCTATTTTTCTCTGATGAACTCCCATGGCCCGCAGTGAGACCCCGGCCACATTAGACTGCCTGTTGCCCTCTGAACCTGCCAGCTCATTCCCAATACTGCTGTACTATTTAAAAGCCTCTGCCCCTTTATCTTCCCAGTTCCCAGCTCTGCCATGTACTACATTCTCTGAGTCCCAAAACCTGATACTTTACATGGGTTTCTCTCTCTTTGATCCCCTACGGTGTGAGAATTAGTCCCATTCAGTCTATCATCGTCCATTCTGTTTGCCTCCCCAGACTGTACAGGCTCCTAGAAGTTAGGGTCTGTACCTTACCATTCTCAGGAATTTGTCTTAGCACCTAACACTTGCTGAAGGAAAGAAGAAAGGGGAAGAGTGGGTGTGGGGGCCCATTTCTCTGATCCCTAATTTGCCCCTTGATAAATTAACCACATCAAATCATTGCTGCCTCCACTTGAGTCTTAGGGATTCCTTGTGGGGCTGTGGGCCTGGTCTACAACTGTCTTCATTTGCTCCCATTTGCTCACCGCAGTTCAGCAAACCAGTCTGGGTGCTCAGCATCCCTAATGAACTTAAGGGCCTCACTTCAGATCCAGGTTTCTAGGCGGGTTCCACGCTAGTTAAGGGCCCCGGTTTATACTCTATCACCAACTTGCTGCTTGCTAAGATGAGCCATGGCACCATGACTCCATCCCTTCAATCTTCCTCTTCACTCAGTGGTTTTCTCCCACCTCAGTTCTAGGGTATACCTCCTGCCTTAGGCATTATTATTGCAACTACTTGGGAGCTCTCTGGCTGTGGCCCTGGTTTCTCCCTTTGACATCAGCACAAAAGTGGGCACATGTGGAAGCTGCCTTCTTGCCATGAGCTTGGGTCTCTTGGAAGCCACAGCCTCCCTACTATGAGCTCTCTGGCCTGTGATAACCTCTGCTTTCCACCTTCATATATCTTGAATATTTTGTTCTTGCTGCAGTCCATGATAGGCTTCCTGTAATTCCATGTAGGCAGCCTGTACTTCGGAATCAGAGTACACCTGCAGGCCCTTTCTCCTCCTCAGGGCTAGGATTGTCACCCGGACACCATGGAGCCTAGCCCTTGCATCCCCAGAAGAGTGTGTCAGGAAGGCTCGATGCAGGACAGGCAGCCCCTCCCAGAACTGGATTCAGCACCACCGTTATCTCCTGACTCTGTTTGGCTCTGCCTGGTATTTCCTACCAGTGTCAACCAATCCTAGAGCTTCCAGACCTACTGCTTGTCCCTGTCCACTGAGTGAGGCGAAGCCCCTGGCCTCAGTCCCAACTCCCCAGCTTCCTGACCTCCAACAGTTTGGGGGAGCTTAATCCTCAGCCAGCCTGTCTCCAGCTCAGACAACAGCTTGGCGCCCCCAGCCTCTGCCTGGCTAGCCCACCCGGACACGAGTCGGCTGGGGGCCTGTGCCCCCACCCACTATCTGTTGCCTGCCTGACTGATATTCTTGCCTTTTCAGTTTCACACAAGGCCCTTCTGAGCCTCATCATGCCCTTCCCACTATTACTACACCAGTCAAGAGCCTGAAAACTTCCTTCTTCCCATTACCAGTCCCTGGTCCCCAAAGTGGCTCTTAGCTTGGGTTATTCTGTCCATTTTGTTGTTACCTTATTGATTGGGCCCTCCTTTATGTGTCGGGCAGAGTATTCACAACACACCTTTGCATTCCACTCTCAAATGCGGTGTACTTACCTTTATTCAACACAGAAATTCTTCTCTGGGAAATTCAGGGTCTAGGAAGGTGAACTCAAGCAAGGACAGAGATGAGGACGAGATCTTACCACTCTATCCTCAGTGCCTTATTCAGTGCCCAGCTCATAGAAGGTGCCAAATAGACATCTGTTCAATGAATAAGGGGGGAGGGGAAAGCAACTTGGATAAAGTTTTACTCCCACTCATTTTTACATTAAGTTTTATTTTAACCCTATAACAATACTAGAGGTAGGTAGGGAAGGGATTATGATTTCCCTTTTAGAAATGAAAAAATGTCCAGAGAGGTAAAAAACACATAGCTAGGAAGTCGGGGAGACATGAACCCAGGACACGAACCCAGATCTTTTGTCTCCAAACCTAATTTCTTCAGGCTATACCAGATTACTTTCTTAGGAGGAGGCTGGACGGTTTCCACCCTCTACTCTCAAGCCATCCTCTTCCCTCAGGCTTCTCCCCACCCAGCCAAACAGACTCTCCCCCAGCAGTCACTGAGTATAGAGCACTCCCCTGGCCCCTTTGGCCTCCTCCTCCCCCACGGAGTCCTTAGTTCCTGGGACTGAGAGCTAAGGTTCAGAGGGGCCAGGAAGGGGGGGAGGGTAATGGCTAGCTCCAAAACAGCCAAGGCAGCTGTCCCTGTCACAGAGAGAGGAGACTGTGTGACGGTGTGGGTCTGTCTGCCTGAATGTGGGAGCGCATGTGTGGGAGAGTATGTGTTTGTATGCTTCTAGCTCCAAGTCCAAGTGCTTATTTTGTCTGAGTGGGGGCCCATGTGTGTCTGCATGTGTGTCCGTCTGTCTCTGGGAACACGCAGCCTGAAGTCTGCTTTCTCGACCTCATCTTTTACTCTGGCCCTTATCTCTCCTCACCCTGCCTCCCTCTGCTGCAATAGAGGGTGAGACCAAGACACAGGTATGGAATGCTGGGGGAAGGGGAGTTTGGAACATTGGAAGTCTGGAGCCAAAGCAGACTGGAAGGACAAATGGCCCTGGTGGGATTTAGCTTTCCCTTCAGGTGAACCCAGTTATCCCTCTTTCCCCAGCGGTGTTGCTCCCATGGCCTCTGGAGAGCCCAGGGGCATGGTTTGCATTTCGAGAGCATCTTGGATATGAAGTAAAAGGAGACTTCAGAACACCCCCTTTTCCAGCTCTCAGTTCTAAGCCTTTTGAGCTATCTGGGAAGAACCACTAGGCAGAGCTGCCAGAGTCCCCACCCAAGGGCATTTCCCTTCTATCAGAGCACTGCTGGGCCAGCCCCAAGCCTGATTCCTGACTGCAGATCTGGAAGGGGAGGTAAGCTGAGCACACCTACCCCTAACCTGACTTCTTTCCTTCCTGGGTTCTCCTTTAGTCCCACCTCTCCAACCCTAGGAAAAGGTATGACTACAGACAGAATAGGGACTTCTTCTCAACCTACTGACTTGACCTCTGTCCCATGCCCAATTTCACTTGAAAGGTGGGGGGGGGGCAGCTGTCATCTCTCAGCTGGTTGATGGGGGCATTACCATGTGCAAATAAAGGCTGCTGCCCATCTGTGTCTCCCTGAAAAAGGCTCCTAATAAATTCAGAGCAGCCAAGTGACACACATCTCAATCTAGGCTAATCCACCACATTAATGCCACCTTGCACAGCCTGTATTAAGTCCCTGTTAATGGGGAGGGAGATGGACCCCTCCTACCCAGCTAGCTCTTTACCCTGTTCCTCTATCCCTAGCCTTCTTTGGTTCTCCTCTGACCAAGAGGCATCCAGAGTTCTTGAGTCTCACCAATGCCCCTTTCTGCTTATCCCACCAGAAGGCTTGGGAGAGCCAGCGGGAAAGGGGACCCTGCAGGGGAGACTTGGAGAGGGACCCAGGTAGGCTCCCAGGCAATGTCAGGCAAGGTTTGGGATAGAGAGTAAGGCTGGGAATGTGGCTTTACGAAGCCCACATCTACTACTGGGGGTGGGGAGTGCTGGTAGAGACTGGCATGAGTGGAATGGCTAGTAAGGGTGTGACATGTGTCCAGGTAGACACAGAAGCAGACGAGGCAAGAATGCCTAGGGATTTTCTAACTTGTTTTTGATCCCAGAACCCTTTCTTCAAATGCTATCTCTCCAGATAGGATAAATAAAACAGGCAAAAGCAAGACTGGCGTAGGAGAAGCAGACCCAAACAAGGCCAGGCTAGAGCTCTGTCCCTGAGGCTAGCCCCAAGTTCCAGCCCCTTGGGGGGATTCTGGGTAGGGCCCCAATGAACACAATTTGAAACAGGAAATGAAGAAAAAGCATTAGCTGAAGAGTTTCCCAGATCTGGTTCAGATCCCAGTTCTACCACTTATGAGCTCTGTGACCTTAGTGGTGGCTTCAAGACTCAGTTGCCTCACTGGGACAAGGGTGATAATACTTAATATCGATGCATTCTTGTGAGAAGAGAGGTAATTAAGTAAAGGCACATAGTAAGTGCTCATACATAATAGCAGTGATTTTCCTTATGCGAGACATATTGGGCCTCGTGCAGAATCAAATCTGTCCCACTGAGGGGCACCTGGGTGGCTCAGTCGGTTAAGCGTCCGACCTCGGCTCCGGTCATGATCTCACAGTTCGTGGGTTTGAGCCCCGCGTCGGGCTCTGTGCTGACAGCTCAGAGCCTGGAACCTGCTTCAGATTCTGTGTTTTCCTCTTTCTCCGATCGTCTCCCGCTCACACTCTCTCATAAATAAATAAACATTAAAAAAAATTTTTTTTAAAAACCAAATCTATCCCACTGAAGAGTGAATAACAGAGGTTCAGGTAGTATCTCTAGGTGTGATTGAGTCTCATGTATGAGTTTGTGGGCACACTGGACATACATGTGAAAAGGAATTGAAGTTTCTGAGGATGTGGTATACACTTTACAGTGTGCAATAGTGTAGTTTTCATTAATTCGCTACCTGTTGAATACCAATTGTGCATCAGGCAGAGTTCTAGGTGCCCATCAGTGAACAAAACAGTCTGGTATGCATATCTGTGCATGAAACTTCTGCGTATACACCTTTTCCCCGTTAGGCTGCTGTCTCCCCATTCTATCCTAGGGTACCCCACACGGGGGTAGCTTATATCGGTGGCTGGAAAAAGGGACAGTGAACTTGAGGGGAGACACTACTGGGAACCCGATAACCCGGAGATTTTCTCCCCATCAACCTGGCCTGTGTCTTCTCTCCTTTCCAGAGTCCTCCCTCCATGGAGTTCAGCCTGCTCAGCGAGGCGGAGGCCCGGAGCCCGGCCCTCTCGCTGTCAGACGCGGGCACTCCCCACCCTCCACTCCCAGAACACGGCTGCAAGGGCCAAGAGCACAGCGGTGAGCTCACCCCCTACTGGGGGTAGGGGAGATAGCAGCTCAATCCCTCTTGCGGGTGGGACCTGGGAGTGGAAGGCAAGGTGGGAGTGAAGGCTACGTGGAGGAGGTCCGGGAGCCGCAGAGTTCGCGCAGGCCTGGGCACCCAGTGACCTGCCCCCATCTCGGCCCCCAGATTCGGAGAAGGCCTCGGCTTCGCTGCCCGGCGGCTCCCCGGAAGACGGCTCTCTGAAGAAGAAGCAGCGGCGGCAGCGCACCCACTTCACCAGCCAGCAGCTACAGGAACTGGAGGCGACCTTCCAGAGGAACCGCTACCCCGACATGAGTACGCGCGAAGAGATCGCTGTGTGGACCAACCTCACCGAGGCCCGCGTGCGGGTAAGGTCCTCTCAGACCTGCAACCTTCCCCGCCACCCCCCACCCCCAACCCCAGCCGCTGGCCCCGGCCTCCCTCTAGCCGGCCGCTCAGCAAGTAGCCCTGGAGCCAGCAGTCTGTGCCTCTGCCCTGACTGCCCACCGTCGGCCCAACACCCAACGTGCCCAGGCCTCCGTCTGCTGCCATGCACGGCCTCCTTTGAACTAGCCTCCGGCCTCTGCTCTGACTCCACCCTGTGGCTCCAGGCCGCGCGTTCCTTCTCCCCCCGCACTGTCTCTCCTTCTCTGCTTCCCCCCTCCTTGACCCCATCCTACGGGACCCCCCAGGCCGACTCCCCCCTGACTCAATTCTGCCGCCCACAACTGTTCTCAGCCCCTTGACTCGGTGCGCTGCCCCCAGCCCCGACCTGGCTGCCCAATCCCGTCTCTAACCACTTCCGTCTCGTTTATCCTCCGCCCTGCCCCTGCCCGAACGCGGGTCTCGGTGACCTAGCGGCCCGCCGCGCTGACCCGGGCCGCCCCCTCCCGGCTGCTGCTCTGACAGCCTTTCTCGCACTCCGGCAGGTGTGGTTCAAGAACCGGCGCGCCAAGTGGCGGAAGCGCGAGCGCAGCCAGCAGGCGGAGCTATGCAAGGGCGGCTTCGCCGCGCCGCTCGGGGGGCTGGTGCCGCCCTACGAGGAGGTGTACCCCGGATACTCCTACGGCAATTGGCCACCAAAGGCTCTCGGCCCGCCGCTCGCTGCCAAGACCTTCCCGTTCGCCTTCAACTCGGTCAATGTGGGGCCTCTGGCATCGCAGCCCGTCTTCTCGCCACCCAGCTCCATCGCCGCCTCCATGGTGCCCTCGGCCGCGGCCGCCCCGGGCACCGTGCCAGGGCCCGGGGCCCTGCAGGGCCTGGGCGGGGGGCCCCCCGGGCTGGCTCCGGCCGCAGTGTCCTCCGGGGCAGTGTCCTGCCCTTACGCCTCGGCCGCCGCAGCCGCCGCTGCAGCCGCCTCCTCCCCCTACGTATATCGGGACCCGTGTAACTCGAGTCTGGCCAGTCTCAGGCTCAAGGCCAAACAACACGCCTCTTTCAGCTACCCCGCCGTGCCCGGGCCGCCCCCGGCCGCCAACCTCAGTCCGTGCCAGTACGCCGTGGAACGGCCCGTATGAATGGTCCGGTCCGTCGACCGTCGCCGAGGGCAGGGTCGATAATTCACAGCCTCCCCGGACTGGGGTCGTCTTGACCGGCTTGCCCCTGCCCCGGGGTCTGAGAGGGGTGCTGGGGCAGCTGGTGGGTGGGTGGGGTCGGCCGGCTCAGGAGAGAGACTTCCCCCTGCCGGCCCTGAGGGGTGGACTGGACCCTACACACAGTCCGCGCCCCTGGGACTAAGGCCAGGAACAGGGACCAGTTCCCCAGGGGGCCAGCTGACCCTCGGCCCACCCCGCCTTCTTCAGACTCCTCTCCCTCATTTTCAAAGATTAATGAAATAAACGTGCGCGGACTGCCAAAGGCCTGATGATTCAGATTTGCCGTTAAGCCCCCTCCCCTCATGCTCCGCCATTTCTAAAGGAGAGCTGGGTGTGCAGGAAAGAAGTAAGGGCCGGGACTTCTAGGGCTTCAGTACCCCCTCAGCTCCCAACACCAGGACGGAAAAGCTGGGGGAATTCCCGGACCCACTGAGCGCACCTGCGTGCGCGTAGGTGGGTGTGGCTTAGGGGCCTGCAACTCGGCGGGCGTTGGCCAAAGTTGGTGCTGCGGCGCCACCTCGTGGTCTCATAGCGGATAACTGGGCGGTCTGGTCTCGAACGCTTGCAGGCATCAATTCTGCAATTTAGGAAGCCTGTGATCTTGGATAAGTTACTCCGCCTTTTTGCACCTGTTTCTCACTGTTCCTCTGAGGGGCTTGGGCGTCTAATAGCAATAAAATTCTGGTCTGTAACAGACATTTATTAAGTGCTTACCAGGCCTAGGATTCTTGAGTGTCTGTGTGTGAGCCTCTCATCCTTCCACACACCTGCTTAGGCTCCTCACCCAGTGATCATCCTGCTTGCCAGCAGCCCTCTCCTATCACAGCAGTCCTCCTCTTCCCCCCAAATCCCAAAGCCCCAAAAATCTTGTTGAAATCTTTAATTAAAAAGTAGAACAAGAAGAAGATTTCTGGATAGAAATATAAATAACTCAGTTCTGGGGATCCTCTTCAGTCCTACCCCCATCCCAGGGCCTGCTTGGCCTTCACATTAAAAAAAAAAAATAGAAACATCAAAGTACTAGATTAGACCCATCCCACATCTGACACTTCTAGTCTGACATAACTTCCTGCCACCTTGGGGCTCACATCCCATGGAGAAAAACATGCAGGAAAAGCATGCTAATCGTTCTCCCAAATCTAAGCTCAGCCCCTCAGTGCCTTTGTGAGGAGAGAGCCTAGAGCTCCTTTTTCTCCAACCCTTCACTGCCTCTTGGTCTTGGCTTTGGCCTTGGGGATTACGTAGCTGTGGTGGAAATAATGGGCAAAGAGAATGAAGTAGGTCATATACAAGACGAGACCCCAGAAGAAGTGTTCCGTTGTGGTGTGACATCCCTGTTCTTGTCTCCAGATGTAAGTTAAGATGCTGACAGTGGCTCCCATAAACATCTGCAGGATCTGCAGGCTGGTGATGAGCATGGGTAACCACGTGGGGGGCTTCATTTTGGCAGCCCTCAGAGTGTAGTAGATGTACATGATGGCATGCACACCGTAGTTCATGGTCATGAACCAGCCGCCTGCAACCACCTTGTTCTTGTATCCAAAGCTCGTGTACACTAGCACTGTGCTGTGGTGGTACCAGTGTACAAAGATGAGTGGCCGCTTACGCAGGATGATGAAGGCCGTGTCTCCTGAGAGATGGGGAGTCATAGCTGGCATACCACCCAGTGTTGGGACCACCCTCCACACTGGATGTAGGGGAATGGGGGGAATTCTCAGGGCATGGAGAGGGGTCTTTGCGGCAAATAACCTAAAGAGGGGCTTCGGTAAGAGGTGTTGTTAGGACCCAGGGGTGGGGGAAAGGACTCTCCATGTTATGGGGGAACACTAAGGAGGGATGCAGTTGACTGGGCACCAGAGAGACAAAGCCTTGACACTCACCAAGTTCAATGATCTTGCTGAGAAGAAACAGCCAGGACCAGAATCTGATTATGGGATTGTTGATGGAGGCGGAGAAGCACACAGTTTGCTTTAGGCTGCCCCTAAGTATCATGGTCCCCATATAGCCCCATGTCCTCACTGCCCCCAGGATACTGAAATGGGAGAGAGGAAAAGGGCGTAAGGGTCATCCTCAGACAACGATTCACCCTTCCTCCTTGGCCTGGAAGGTCATTGTCCCAAGCTCCACCACTTCTTCCCCCCTTCCAGTGAAACGGATCACAACTTCTGAGATCCTGTGGCCAGGATCCAACCAGTAATTTAGAGGAGCTGAGGGCTAGGGAAGGACCAGGGAATGCTGGAGGATTAGACTGAAAGTTGAGTTAGGGAATAGGGTTCTTGGGATGGGTAGGGATGGGTAACAGGATGGAGGATATGGAAGGAGTTTCGGGGATGAAATATGGGAAAGAGGGGCTAGAGAAGTAATTGGAAGTTCTTGGAAGAGGGTGTTAGATGCTGAGAGTATTAGAGGCTGGGCAAATATGTTAAAAGTACACAGACTCCGTGAGCACAAGAGTACTCATGAGATAGAACAGAAGCTGTCAGTATGGGGCCTGGGGAAGAAGAAAACCAGGGTAGAGGCGCCTGGGTGGGTCAATCAGTTAAGCGTCTGAATTAGGCTCAGGTCATAATCTCACGGCTGTGAGTTCGAGCTCCTCTTCGGACTCTCCACTGATCGCACAGAAGAGCCTGCTTTAGATCCTCTCTCTCCCTGCCCCTCCCCTGTTATCTCGCTGTCTCTCAAAAATAAATAAACATTTGAGAGAGAGAGAGAGAAGGAAAACAGGATAATACTAGAGGGAGGGTGGAAGCCAGGCAGGGGGCTGGACCTGGGGGAATGGGTTAGGGAGAGGGTTAGAGGGCAACTTGGGGAGTTGACTCAGTTGGGGTTTCTAGAAAGCTTTTAGGGATAGAATGAGGCTTGTAGGGTCTACAGAATATGCAGGGAGTGGAGGTGGGGGGGATGTGTCTTACCTGAAGATTGCAAGGCAGAAGGACCAAAGGATCAGAGGCCCCTGCAGGTTGAAGCCCTTCCGTGCCTTCATGTAGTTCTGCCCCACAAAGATGAGCAGCAGGTAGATGAAAGCTATGGGGAATGAGGTTGCCCTGGCAGGCAGAAGGCAGAGGTGATGGGCTTACAGGTGGGTGCTCGTTAGAGGAGTACCCACTCATCTCTCAAGGGAAGTGCTCTGGGTTGGAGCCACAGTTCTGTCATTTACTGGATGTGTGACATTGGAAAAACTACTTAGTTCTCCGAGTCTCGGTTTCCTTATTATAAAGGAGAAATACCACTCCTCTCCTGGCAGTGTTAAGGTATATAAAGTACCTAGCACAGGTCAAGGGCTGTGGCCAAGTTTTCTGTGGTTATTGCTCTCTCAGTGGAATTGTAAATGGGTGACGGCTGCTGGCTTATGCCTAAAACCAACTCAGGGCTCTGGTGCAAGAAGAATGTGGCAATAGTTTCTGCCTGGTTGGGTCGTGGCAAATTGGCTGGAGCACAAAATTAGCCCACAAACACCTCTGAGGAGCTTCAGGGCAAGGCCAAAGAGCCTGGGGAAATCTTGGAAAGGCTCCCTGGCTGTGTCTACTCCACAGCAGGGATGATGGAGAATTGGGGGAACAACATAATTTGAAGGGCAGACTGTCCCTGAGCACCAGCACTGTGCCTGCACGCGTGCACACATGGCCACAAAGGACAGAGGAGAGCCATCAATAAGGTGGGTGTGAGTAGGAGTTCAGATTAACCCCTTTCCTCACAGATCACTTCTCACTAACCTCTTTCCCCAGTCTGTCTCCTGTATTCCTCATCCCATCCTCTTTCTTCCTTTCTTCCGCCCTCCCTCCCTTTCTGTCTCTCTCTCCCTCTTTCTCTTTCTTCCAGATCTAATCTCTTTGAGGTGCCAACACTACCTGCACCTTGGACAACAGGGATATGGAGCCAGTACAGGGAAGCCCGATACTTTTGCTCTTTGAGAAAATCATTGCGGGCATTCAGTGCCTCCTCCCTCACCCCCACCCCACCCCAAATAGCAGTCATCAAGGTCAGGACCCTGGTCTGGCCCTTCTCATTCCCCAGGTCTTACCAGTATTCCTCCAAAAAGGGCCTCATGTCCTGGAAGAGCTCGAAGTGGTAAGGTTGGAACAGCTGCGCTACTTCGTCCGAGACATTCATGGCTGGGACCATTTCGTTCTGCAGACGTCCAGGTCCGGAGCTTCGGAAGCTAGGTAAGAGGTTAGGGGACAGAGGATGGAGCGAATCTTGGGGCAGGACAAAATGCACGAGGACCTCAAGGAACTTCGCGGCAAGCGAGGAGCGTCAGATTCAGGGACGTGTGCCGCAATCAGCTTGCTTCCAACTGCTGTCACCACTGCGATATATGAAGCGGATTGCAAAGCGGCGGGCCCAGTCGGAGCGACGCCCCTCCCAGCTCCAGGCTGCTATCCAATCTTGACCAAGATACGCCCCGGTCCCGCCCCTGGGCCGCAACCCGCTCCTGACTGGCTATCCTCAAGGGTGCCTCCCCCGCAGGTGTTCTCACGCCCCACCCCGTATGCCTGTCGTAGGCTCCTGCCATGCCCACTTTCGCACCCTTTTCTCCCACAGCTCCATTCCCACCCGCTTGGCTTACCCCTGTGGCCTTGCCAGTACCTGGGCAGGCTAGTCTCATCCCAACACTGCCAACCATAGCTTTTGCCTCAGTTCGCTTTAATGTGACCTGCCTGGCAGTGAGGAGACAGTAGAGGTGTCCTCAGCCTCTGGTGCATTCATTCAGAAATAGGGGTGTCATTTTTCCACCTCCCTGAGACTCTAGGAAACCCAGAACCCGGAAGAGGATGAATCTCCCATAGTCCCATCTACTCGCCTCAGGTCTGTGGTCGTGGGTGGGAAGGAGACGATTGTCAGTAAGTTTTATTGTTGAGGTTGTTGATGTTGGTGTTTGGGGAGATGGTTGTTGAGGCTGTTGTGGTTTCTTTACAGTTTCCTGAATTCCTGAACCGCTCCAGCCTGAAACCCAGTAATAAGCTTTGAGAGGAAATGGGTCACCCTCTGGGCTTCTGGGA